GCTATCCTCTTGAAGCAGAGCCATCACTCAAGCTTTCATTGTTGATATTTTTTCTCATTTCCTATAGAAGTGTCAGTGCAACACTAGTTTCAAATGGTGTTACTATAACTGTATGTTTTTCAGTTAGGCTTTTTATTGTTAGAACTCCAGTTTACAATACAAACGCATGATATTTTGTTGCTAAGAAATGTTTACTGTTATGTTTATTTTTGTAGATTTGTGTGTGTGAGTGTTGCATGTATCTGAAGGACTGAAGGTTTAGTGGACATAGTTTAAATATGTTTGCCTTCCCATTTAAGTAACATTGAAGTCTTTCCTTCTAGGCAGGCATTCAACAACCTGTTCTGCTGTACCTTGCAGTGTTTCGAGTTCTGCCTTTTTCACTTGTAGGAATTCTAGAGATCAACAAAAAGGTAAGAACTCATTTCTTTTTTTTTTTTTTAAAGCCAGTCAAATTTAGCAGTGGGGGGTTGAATACCAACTTTAGTGACACTAATGTTAGTAAGTTCTGATAACACACTTGGACCAGCCAATTCATTCTTGGACCAAGAATGAATTCTTGGACCAGCCAAGAATTCATTTCTTATTTAATTGCAATATTAATTTTATTGACAATAAGGTGTAATGTTATCATTTAATTATTTATTAGGTATTTTGATCGGGAATGTTCACTTGACTGTAAAAGGTTCACTAACCTGGTTTATTTCATAACAAAATAAATAAAGGACATTTGACTTGGGAAGAGAGCCTAATTATCCCTCAATCTTTCCTCATGTTTTTATGCCTTTCAAGTGGATAGTGTTGGATACCTGTGGTCATTAACAAAACAATTTATATATTTTATGAAATTACAAAATAAGTAAGGTATATTTTTGGAGGGAATATTCCAAAGTCTATTACAAATGATCATTAAAGGAAGGTGAAAATTTGCAACAAAACGTCTTATTTTAATTGCAAAGTGTAGATCTAAAACTTGCTTTAGGATATATAAACAAGCTTTATAATTAAATATGTGAATTTTCCAACTGAGTTTTGGGTTTGGTTTTGGCCATTGTTATCGATGTATGTAACAGTTACATAGAAGGAAAGAAGGGGCAATTTCCCTTTTGTAAAAGAATCAATAGCCTTCTACTTTAAAAAAAATTGTTGCTTACTCTAAATGAATAGTTATTGGGCTATTCTACTAGTCTTTAATTAAGCACCTAAAGTATTGTAAAGGACAAGATCTTAAGGGTCCACTAATGTTCAAGTTGAATGTATTAAAATTTTATATTATGTAAGAATAATATACTAAACTGCATAAAGGCTGAAGAGTAATATTAGGTATATTAACCAAATTTTAAAATAGAGTGGCTACTTTATAATAGCACTCATTTAGAAATATGTTTCAATTACAGAAGTCTTTCTTTTCAAAGTGGGGAACCAGAATCAGTAAATTAAAAAGTCATGAGCTAATCAACATAAAGGCAAACCATAATTATCCTTCTAAGAGATGACAAAAAAATACAACTCATAATTTGATCATTCTCTTTGTGCTTGTGGATTAAGTAATTATATGTGCTTATTACAGTTTACAACAGGAATGAGCACTTAGCAAAGTCATAAATCGTTTCTATTTGTTCCTATATGTTCAGGGTAATTATCTGAGATTTGGTTGTGATTGTGGTTACTTGGGATTGAAATACATATTTCATTTAACATGCATAAGACAATACAGGGGCCGGGCTTAGAATGTATAATATAATACTTCAAGCTATTAATTATGGTGGTAATATAACAGATTTTCACCTTATTTCTAGTTATTCTTTTATTGCTATGATATTTGCCTATGTTGGCTTTATTGAATACTAAAATATGCAAAAAATCAAGTTCTTATCAGACCTATGTGGAGAAACATGACAGGATTCAGTGCATAGAACAGAAACAGAAAGGCAACAAACATGGCTGGGCACAGTGGCTCATGCCTTTAATCCTAGCACTCTGGGAGGCTGAGATGGTAGGATCGCTTTAGGCCAGGAGTTTGAGACCAGCCTGAGCAAGAGTGAGATCCTGTCTCCACAAAAAATACAAAAATTGGCTGGGAATGGTGGCATATGCCTATAGTTCTAGCTACTCAGGACTGAGGCAGAAGGATTGCTTTAGCCCAGGAGTTTGAGGTTGCAGTGAGCTATGATGATGCCACTGCACTCTATCTAGCCTGGGCGATAGAGCAAGACCATGTCTCCAAAAAAAACAAGAGAAAAAAAAAGAAAAGAAAGGGGACAAACAATGAGCCAATAAGTGTCCTTGTAGGTGTTTGGTCTTCAACATGTTTGGATTTTATATGACTAAAAAAAATCAAACAGTATTAGAGATTTGACTGTTTTTCTTATAATTACTTTCCTAGGTCCAATTTTTTCACTCTTAATTAGCTGAAAAATTATCTCTTTATAAAGAGCATGCTAACATAAAGAATGGGTTCCTGGCAGGATATGCATAGTAAATTAAACATCCATTTAAAATTGCATGGCCTCCGTATATGCCATCAGGAATAGGATTTGTTATTAATAGATATTGACAAAGCTATGAAGTGAATGAATGCTGGGTGCATCATTTTGAAGGGTATTTGCTAAACTTTCATTAGTGTTCCAGTCTGAAAATCCAGTGGCTTACTGTTCATCTGTAATAACACCTTAACCTCAAGTTGCTCAATTATAATTAAGTTTTAATGCTAGGCATCAGTGTTGTAATGGTGACCTGAATATTAAGCAAAAGTATAAACTACTGTGAATGCTCAGAGTATTGGCCTTACGGTCTTTTCTCAGGTGATTTATGCCTTTCCCCCCAGATTTTCGGGAATGTTACAGATGCTACCTTGTCTCATGGAATACTGATTGTGATGTACAGCTCGGGACTGGTCAGACTGTATAGTTTCCAAACCATCACTGAACAGGTAGAGAAAACTGAAATTTTCTGTGTTATAATTAGCATGAGGTTTGGACTGAGTATGATTTTTTTTTTTTAATGAGTTGCTTTTAGAGTAAGGTATTTGTGTAGATTTCAACTCTATAAAACTATAGAAATGCAGAAAGACAAAGTAACCTTTAAAAGAAGGGTGGGGAAGATAAACAGAAAGGCCCTTGAATAAAGATATTGTCTCTGTAATATATATGTGAATTTTATTTTTTTCTCTCTAGATAGCAAATAAATAGGTGCTAAAGCCACCATTTTTGTTTTGTTTTGTTTTTAGTTCATGCAACAGAAACTTGACTTAGGGTGTGCATGCAGATGGGGTGGGACTACTGGAACTGTAGGAGAGGCTCCTTTTGGCATTCCTTGTAATATTAAAATCACAGGTATGGCTACTCTATAGTATTTTTTCACCTTAAAAAAATAAGTGCTCATATAAATAGTTATTAATTATAATCATCCAAATGTTTTGCTCATTTATTAATAAACTGAATTCATTTTACTCCTATACAGCATATTTCTTGCTATTGAATAAGTGTCAAGAAAAATCTATCAGTTAACATTGAACCGAAAGCCTGAGGATGCTGGGCCTTGCTTGGCCAGAGACCTTTGACAAGCCACTTTCCCCTTCCGATTCTTGATTTCCTTACCCTCAAAGTGATGAGTTGCAACAAATGATACCATCTGAGCTCTCTTAAAACTTAATATTTGGCAATTCTGAGAAATTTACCCATCTCTAAGAAAGGTATTTTCCAAGGAAAATAACGATTACCATACCATTTGACCATAGACAGAGCTTAGACACAGAGACAACTTCCCAGTAGACTTAATTATTGACAAAGCACACACACACAAAAAAAGAATTCTATACAATTCTATAAATATAGTAAAAATGTTCTATATTTAACTAGCTCATCAAGTTCAGTTTATAAAAAAAGAAATCAACAATGACACAAAGTCAGCAGTGTATATTAAAAGAAATAAACCTGACTGTTCATAGTTCATCTCAGAAATCCAAGGATGGCTTAATGTTTGCAAATATAATAGATATAAAAATTATATGAGTAAATTAAAAGAGAAAATATATTTTATTATCCTAATATCTATTTATCTTTATTCTTAGTTCATAAGAGTCATTTCTATCATGTTAAGGACATTTTCTTTAATTTCCAACCAATAAGAATTATATTTTTTGGTGAAACTCAGAGGTTTTTCTTTTATATGCAGAATAATATGAGAATTTTTTCTGCCATTTTTATTTTATGTTTTATTATCAACAGATCAAGAAACAGAAATGAAAGTTATGATTGTTGGAAAGGGAAAAAATGTTTTTAGCAATAAATGACAAATTATAGAAACTACTGAGAGAGTTCAATACAATATTTGTACATGCAGTTCAAAATAAGTATTTTAAAAATTACTCAAGTTTTAAGATGCCTTGGACAAGCTGAATTAGGCAGTTTTATGAAAACTCAGCCCCAGGAATACCTTGCATATTAAATACATATACACTGGCAGAAATCTGTTAAGTATTTTAAAACTACAGGCTCCAGTAGTAACTAGAATGGGTTATTTTGGAAAGAGTTTCCAAAAATTATAGCATTACTCTTGTTGAAGTGCAGAGAATAAGTGAGTAAAACAAAGAATAAAGGTGATAAAGCACAGAGAACCTAAAAGGATTGTGCTGTGGGTTTGGCCCTGTTTATAAAAAAGAAGACTGAGTTTGGGATCAGAGTTTTAGTCTGCTACTAGTAAGAGTAAAACTCCACTACTAACTGGTGGTATGATAGTAGGCAAATTACTTAACCTCTCTGAGCCTCACATTTTTTAACTTTAAAATAATAATGTTTGAAAACATAATCTATGTAATCATTTGTCATTGTAAAACAACATAATTCAGTGATTTGGGGATGTTTGGCTAAGAAAAGTAGCATGTTGTATTGGAAGCATAGAGTGTTTATTTCACACTGTAGAGACTGAAATTTCATTCATTTCTCCAAATTTGTTTTTCAATGTGATTAAGGTCTATACAAAATAATACCTATTTTAACTTTAAATAACTTTTTTCTTAGTACGAAAGCAGTTGCTTTTCATTACAGAAAAATTAGGGAATAAAGATAATCAAAAGAGAACATTTAGGCTGGGTGAAGTGGCTCACGCCTGTAATCCTAGCACTCTGGGAGGCCGAGGTGGGTGGATTGCTCAAGGTCAGGAGTTCACAACCAGCCTGAGCAAGAGTGAGACCCCGTCTCTACTATAAATGGAAAGAAATTAATTGGCTAACTAATATATAGAGAAAAAATTAGGTGGGCATGGTGGCACATGCCTGTAGTCCCAGCTACTCTGGAGGCTGAGGCAGGAGGATTGCTTGTGCCCAGGAGTTCGAGGTTGCTGTGAGCGAGGCTGACGCCATGGCACTTTAGCCTGGGCAACAGAGTGAGAGAAAAAGAAAAAAAAAAAAGAGAGAACATTTAAAACACTCTCAGTCCTCTTACATGAGTTAACTGTTATCACCTTGGTAAGTTTTTTTCCCAATTTTATACTGTGCATATTTCTATAAGTTTAAAACCAAGAAAGAATCATTCAATAAATGTTCTTTCTTAACTAGCTTTTTAAAATAATCGACTCTATTGAGCTATAATTTGCATATAATTAACTACACCCATTTTAACTGTAAAGTTTGTTTTGTCAAATGTATACACCCATGAAACCACCACCACAATCAAGATTTAGAATCTTTTCATTATCCCAAAAAGTTCCCCTGTGCTATTCCCAGTCAATTCTCCCTCACCCTAGCCCTAGGCATCAATGATCTCATTTCTAGATTATATATTTTAGAGTTTTATATCAGTAGAATCATATAGTATATACCTTTTCATCTGGTTTCTTCCAGATATTATTTTTGAAATTCATTTTGTGTTGTCACATGTCTCTGTAGCCTAACCCAGTTTTTAATATTAATATGAGTATTAATTTCCATCTAGATTATTGAACAGATTCATCTTGTGAAAACAATAAAGTTGTAGTCCTTTATTACTCTTACTCATAAGTTTAAGGCATAGTCCGTTATTACTCTTTACATCGAAATAAATAAAAGATTTAAAAGTCTAGAAAAAAGATTTAAAAGTCTAGAAAAAATAAAAGATTTAAAAGTTTAGAAGAAAACATGGGAGAATCTTTTTATCTTAGAGTGAGGAAGGCCTTTTTAAGTATGACACAAAACCCAAAACCATAAAAGAAGAGATTGATAAATTTGATTACATTAAAAATAAAATTCTACATGGCAAAAAAACCCAAACACACACACACAACATAAACCAACTCAAATCAAGTAATGAATGGGACATATTTACAAAACATACAATAAAGGGATAATTTCCTTGATATATAAAGGGTTCTATAGACCAATAAGAAAAAGAATGACAACACAATTTAAAAATGATCAAAGGATGTTCTTCAAAAGAAAAGGAAGTATCAATGGCTTTTCTTTTTCTTTTCTTTTCTTTTTTTTTGAGATAGGACTTTATTTTGTCACCTGTGGCTTTATTCTGTCACGCAGTGGCAACCTCAAACTACTTGGCTCAAGCAATCCTCTACCTCATCCTCCTATGTAGTGGGGACTACAGAAGTGTGCCACCATGCCCAGCTAATTTTTTTATTTTTTTGTAGAGATCGGGGTCTCTTTATATTGCTTAGGCTGGTCTTGAACTCCTCTCCTCAAGTAATCCTCCCTACTCGACCTCCCAAAGTGCTGGGATTACACATGTGAGCCACTGCCCCCAGCCATAAATGGCTTTTAATTAGGGGAGTGCAAAGCTCGATATCACTGATAGTAGAAATGAAAATTAAAATAATGGTAAACTATATCTTTTCAGATTCTCAAATATCAAATATCAAAAAGTTATCAAATATCAAAAAGTTAGAATACCAAAAAAAAAACCAGTTAGAACTTTTGTTATAACATGGTTGGTGGAAGCATAAAAGAGGCACTTTCATTAATTTGGGGGGCCCTTTATGGCCCCCAACAATTTGTTAATATGACATTTTGTCCATGTGTATCAAAATTTTAAATGCATGAACTCCTTGAGCCCAGCAATACCACTACTAGGAATTTATCCCAGACATATTCATGTGTAGAAAATGATAAGTATACAATTAAAACATTGTTTCTAATAGCTAAAGATTGAAACAATGAATACATTGGTAACTAAGACTAATATTATTTCATTTTATAGCTGTATCATAAATTTACTTTTTAAATTATTAAGAACAGAATTTTTTTTGCACTGACGTAGAACAATTTCCAAGATATATTATTAAGTGAAAAAAAATGGGTATAAAACTGTATATGGGAAAAGCTTCATTTGTATAAAATATTCATACTCAAATATTAAAGATTTATATACAATCATTTGCTTTTGGATTTGCTTGGGATATCTGGAAGGACACACAAAAACTTGATAAATAGTAGTTACCTCTGAGGAGACAGAGATGAAAGAAAGACTTAGTTTTCATTATGAGGTCTATCCAGGAAGTATCCAGCCACGTAACATGAAAAATAGAGACATTTATTAAAGACAATACAAGATGCAAGAAACATTGTACGTAGAATAATGATGCCTCAGTCCCCTTCAAAGTAGGTACCTTGAGACCTCACACAGTTCTCCCAGTGTCTCTTGACCTAACCCATACATGTTTATTATTCTCAGTTGTTCTGTTTGTTGCAGGCCTGCTAGAATGTGGCTCACTTTCAACAGATTCTCAACCATCTTTAAAGCATTTGTGCCACATTTTTATTTGTGCTGTACTCGTTGTGTTGTCCCCAAAAGCTTTCTGAATTATCTAAATAGTTTCTGTGGAGGAATATTCAAGCTTAACACAAAATTTGATGCAGATTTGTTGCTCTACTCGCTCAGTCATCTTGAATGCGATGGCCAGACTGTATACATGCTCACTCAACAGTGTCTAGCGCCCCACTGACTAATACAGAGAAGGTGTCATTGTTTATGTATGTGAGTCCCAGTCCACTGTCCTTGGCTGTCAGGTTACATCAAGGTCACACAAACCATTGTTGTTATATTAACAATGGTTGGATGCATTTCGGACAGACCTTGTATGTCATCTGATACTTTTTAAATGTAGTGCTTTTATTACCTATGCCAATAAGTGTCTCTGTGTGTATGTGTTTGCATATTCTTGAGGTATTAAGGACTTATAAGCTGTTTCACGAATGAACTATAATATACTTAACCAATTCCCTACTTTGGACATTTAGGTTATTTCAAATTTTCTGTAATTATAAATAGTACAAGAATCTTCCTGTAACCATTAGTGATTCTTGCCTGAATCACTTATTTCATGTGGGTTGCAGAATGGCAGTTTTAAA